GATAATCTGCACATTGTTAACATCCAAATTAATAATTTTCTAATATTTTTTTGTGAATTAATATTTGTATCTATTTTAGACGCACCCAGGAGCGTCTCAGTGTCCATAACTGGATCTGCTGAAATATTGGAGGGAGATTCAGTGACTCTGAGCTGCAGCAGTGATTCAAACCCTCCTGCTCTGAACTTCAGCTGGTTTAAGGAGAATCAAAGCTCAGCTGTTGGATCTGGACAGAGTTTCAGTGCACTACAGAGTGGACGCTTCTACTGTGAGGCTCACAATCAACATGGATCTCAGAGATCAGACGCTGTTACTGTCACAGGTGAAGCTTTTATTAACACACTCCTGTATCTTCACATCAATCATCAGTTTGTTAATTATGATGATCTTCATCTTTCAGTTCATCCTGGTGCTGATAGGAATGTGATTGTGATCGCAGCCACAATCAACATGGATCTCAGAGATCAGACGCTGTTACTGTCACAGGTGAAGCTTTTATTAACACACTCCTGTATCTTCACATCAATCATCAGTTTGTTAATTATGATGATCTTCATCTTTCAGTTCATCCTGGTGCTGATAGGAATGTGATTGTGATCGCAGCAACATCTGGAGGATTATTCATCATCATCATCATCATCATCATAATCATATGGTTTATAATGTGAGTTCAATAAAAACTGCAGTGGTTGTATAAATGTAGTTCTAAATAATATAGCAAGAATTATTAGAAATCTTTAAAAAACAGCATTCATATTTTCTCTGTACATTCGTTCTGATGTTATTGTCTGTCATCTGTCAATATAACAGGAGGAAAAGGAGTGTTAAAACTGATCTCACAATGAAACAGGTAAATCATCCAGACATAACACGTCATTTCATATAGTATTTTTTTTTAATGTTAATTTTAATATAGATTTGTTGGTCTAATTGTATAATCATAGCAAATTGTGTTGGGAATGAACATTCGTCATTCAATTCAAAGGCTCATTCTGTCCTGTTCTTCTCCACACCATGTGTGAATCAAGGAAATATACTTGTGTTTTACATCACTACATTAATGTGATTTGAAATTCACATTCTGAGATATTTTGACACCTACTTCTGTAGAAAAGCTGTACCTCGCCTCTGAAAAAAGCTGATTAGTTTGTCTTAATTCTGTATTTTCTTGTCTTTCAGAATGATCTTTATGCTGATGTGTCACAGAGAGTTTCAGCTCATGACGAGCCTCTTTCTGAACCTGATACAGTCAATGATGCTCTGTATGCCAATGTGAAGCCCAGCAGATTCAGAGGAGAAACTCCTGAATCCAGAGATACTGAGATCCAGTACGCAACTGTCCAATTTCACCGAAAGAAAGAGACGAACAGACCGGAAGACAATGAATGTCAGTATGACTAAATAAGAGTCCATCAGCCTGATGCTGCCGAGAGGTGAGAAAACAAAAACTTCACCAGCACAGGGGGGGATAATAAAGGCCTTCTGAAGCGATGCGATGCGTTTGTGTAAGAAGAATATCCATATTTACAACTTTATAAAGAGTCTTAACTTTGATAAAGAATATCTCTTTGGTTTTGAGACTTTAGTCTTTGCAACTTCAGGGATCTTATCTATGCACAATCAGCTTGTAACACTCCAAAGAGAAAGGAAAACTTGAAATCGCATCATATGACCCCTTTAAGATTATTATTTATCTTATAAATCATATTCTCATCTGAAGTTAAAAGAAGAATGTCATTTATACCGCAACTTAAAATAACATTTTGTAACTTTTTTTAAAACAATATTGCATTCATCAGTATTTAAATAATGTATGTTTTGACAAGCTAAGGACAGTGAAATCTGTACAACTTATCAATATTCACATGCATTAAGTAGTTTTATTTTATGTATTATTGTATTTTATTAAGAGTGTCCTTTTCATGTTTCACTTTGTATGTTTTTGTAACTAGGGCGGATGCTTCAATAAACCTGATTGACCTGCAAGCCATTTAAGGCTGTAGTGTTTTTACTGGTTAAACCGCACTGACAGGACCTCTAGTGGATGATATGTGAATTATTCTCATGGATGGGACATCCAACTACTTTTCCCTCCTGAAAACTGTTTATTTTTATATGGTCAAGGTTGACAGATCTGGATCTCATTTTCATATTCAGTCTTTTTTATAGTAATTGTTTAAAAGTAAGTCCTGTAATTAAGGTCTAGAGACCAAATTCCCCAGATTGAGACTAATATGTATTTTAAATTAAGGCACAACACAGCAACAGGATTAATTGACGTTTTGCATCACCATTCAACACAACATATTATATTATTGGTGTAGAATCTAGAAAGGTAGGCTATAGTGTTTGAAACAGGGGACTGCCATGACACACAAATATCAAAATTCATGCTTACATCTGTCAAGATTCTGATAAATAATCTTTGGCATCAAATGTTACTTCTTGTGTATTAAATTCAAACTTATTTCAGTTTCTTTGTGCGCCGTGTTTAGAGAAAATTAGAGAGTGTTTTAAAGAAAATTACCTGTTTTCAAAACGAAAAGAACTTCCTCGACGTGACCATCTCATGCACACTTGCCTAACTTCCTTGTGGAAGGACCTTTCTTGAAAAAGACTGGGTTTACTTTCTTTTTTAACCAAAGACTATAGATATACAAAGACGGTTCACTTATGTTGCTTGAAAGGGAGAAACTGCAACATGCAATATGGCGGAATAGACCCGCCTTCTAAATGAAAGAGCCATTCGCTGATTGGTAAAGTCATTGCGTCACAGCAGCGGACAAAGCTCTGGTTCACATAGAAACCTGAGGCTAGACCAGCCAATGCGCATACGCAGTCATAAGCGCGTTATAACTGCGCATGGTCTTAGCCTGAAAAATAAGCTTTTTTTTAACACTATTTGATAAGAATACATACATTACACTCTTCATACATTCTTACACTCTTCATTCATTTATGGGGCAGTTCATTTCAGATTTTGTTGCTGATTTGAAGTACGTAATTTATTTGTGAGTTCATAGGGCAGTTTTTGAGATTTCAGGATTCCCACATTCATTTTAGATAGCACTTGGATGAGCTGCCCGGAGGCACAGCAAATATGGCCGCCGAGTGAACAGACTTTCCTTGAAAGGGAAAGCTTTACCTTAAAGTATGTACTTTTTTGGTGAAGAAAAAGTAAACACTTTTGAGTGTGTAGTTGAAGAGTAGAGTAGGCAAGCTTTGGGACTATAAGGTCATACAATTGCATCTTTAACGGACGCTCTGTCGCACAGTTACATGCACCCTGTCACTGTAAACTGGCCTGCCAATCATCTTGTCACAGTTACATCATCCACATTTAATTTCATTTGACTTCCTACCATATCTGAGAGAAATGAAGTAGCACGTTGATCTGCTAGCCGCGGGTCTTCATGCAGAGAACTCTGCTCATATTTTCTGCATAATGATACATTTAAAAGTTAACGAACAAACGGATGTTTATAAAAGTTTACATTGCTGTTGCAGATGAAATATAACACAGATACCATTAAATAAATATTATTTTACCAGGCTAAATGTTGATTATTAGTAACTCAAACCTTTATCTAAACGTATACTTAAAGGGATAGTTCACCAAGTCCACAAAAGTAGCAATGAGATCGGTAAAATAATCCATGTGACATCAGTGGTTCAACCATAATTATACGAAGCTACGAGAATTCTTTTTGTGCGCAAAAAAAAACAATAAAACAACGACTTTATTCAACAATTCGTCTCTTCCGCATCACCCTGTAAACAGCGTATGCTGTTCTGTGTGACGCAGCTGACAGCGGATATTCTCCAAAATGGAGGAGACGAATTGTTGAATAAAGTCGTTTTTTTTTTTTTCTTTTGCGCACAAAAAGTATTCTTGTAGCTTCGTATAATTGCAGTTGAACCCCTGATGACACATGGATTATTTTACAGATCTCATTGCTACGTTTCTGGACTTGGGAACATTTCAGTTGTATTGCTGTCTATGCAGGGTCAGACACCCTCAAATTCCATCAAACATATCTTAATTTGTGTTCCGAAGATGAACGAATGTCATATGGGTTTGAAACGACACAAGGGTGAGAAATTAATGACAGAATTTTAATTTTTCTGTGAACTATCCCTTTAACCGTCGGTCGCACGCATCCACCATCTTTGTAGTTTTTAATGATTTTTATTTGTGTTTGTAGTTCTCAACAGAATCATTCGTCAAAGCGCAATAGATTGTGGGTAATATTAGGCAAAATTAGCTATATAGACCAAAACCACTTTTTGTACCAGGCTGTAAACATGTTTTTTCTGCTGTAAAGTTGGGCATTTTAACATGGGGAGTCTATGGGATTGACTCCCTTTTAGGAGCCAGCCTCTAGCGGCCAGTCGATGAATTACAGTTTAAGTCTCTTCCGTGTTGGCTTCACGAGAGAGAGCGGGAGGTTGCCGCTTGGTGAATTCACAAACCTAAGTTAAGCGCTAAGCATTCAAACACTGAAAATAGAAAGAGCAGAGACAATTTTCACACAAGACAAAATGTTTGACATTATTGAAGTTTAATTAGCATAACTGTCATAAATGTGAAACGATCAGTGCAGATCTTAGTCGTCTAAAACTTTCTCAATGCCATCTGCAACACTCTGCACAACTTTTCCTGGCGCCTTGACGATCTCTTTCGTGCCTCCGGCCACCGCGCCGGTCACTGGAGACGTCAGCAGACTGAAGACAGCGTCCACTCCTTCACCGGGTGAGCTGGCGCTGTCGATTTTGCTGCTGGCTTCTTTAATGCTGTTGGCGGCTCCTTTCACCATCCCCACAGGGACGTCCACCACGGCTCTGACCACGCCCACCGTTCCCTCGGCAACACCCGACGCCACCGCCCCCACCGCTTTGAAGAAATCCATGACGTCACGGTATTCCTGCAAGAATGCACGTTTGTTTATTGTAGTTGATTTTGTTTGTCCCGATTTTGTTCTTACAAATTCCTGCAGTCCTGGAAATATCGGGGAGTTTAATAAGTTAATTTAATTAAATCTTAAAAAGTCGTGGAAATGTAAACATTTAAAAGTGCATTTTATTTGATTAAACTCCATAAAAAAA